ATACGTAGGCACAGACAAAAAAAAAATATTATACTCTCTAGCTTTTGACAACGGTAAATCGAAAATATTAACTATAAGATACTCGTGTAGAATTTCCCGGAAGCGGATGTATTGCCGATTTTGTTGGAAAAGTTAAAAAAAAAATACACATTTGTAATTATCATTATCATCATAATAATTGATGATTATTTCAGAATTAATTCCATGTAATATATGAATAAAAGTCATTATGTACATTTATAAGTTATAACACAATGATTTATATACAACTGCCATATTAGTATTATAGTGTGTTCTAATAAACCTTATAAATAAAATACCTGTATGACGGCATTTGAACGTTATTCATTTAAAAAAATGTTTTCGACAGTCATAGAATAAAATTTCTATTTAATTTCTAATTTATCTAATTATCTAATTTATAATTTCATGGAGAGTCTCCAGACATCCAAAATACCCCTCTTGTTTACACCTTTGCGTATAGTTATATAATAATCAAGTATGATTTGAATTTTAAAACTATTTTTTCTTTTGTACGTACATGTTCATAAGCATTTTCAAGTATTACTATTAAATGTACTGTTTACATAATCTGTCGAATAGTTTTACTACATTTATTATTGTAATATTATATAACAATATAATCTTTACTTAGACATTACATTATGATAATTTAAAACATTTCAATATTAGAAAAGTTGTACAAATATAAAGATTTACTATTAATAACTATTATAGTATTTCATTTAGAATGAATTGATGACTTGACGTGCAATGAACGTTGCGTAATAAATTGACGGTTGTATCCGAGTTGGGTTCCAGATAATCTGTCTGTATATAAAATTACTTGTCCTGGGTGATTCATCATCGTCTAGCTGGAACCGCTAAAGCTATGAGTATGAGATTTTGACAGTAGTTTTGTTTCATGTTGTAGACACCCACTAAGAAAGGATTTTTTTAAAATTCAACCCTTATCGAGGTTGAAAGGGGTAAAAATGAAAAAAATTACCTAGCTGGAACTGCTGATGCTATAAGTATGAAATTTGGACAGTAGTTTCGTTTCATGTTGTAGACACCCACTATGAAAGGATTTTTAATACCTTCTGGTACCTGCCTAACCTCCTTCCGGGGGTAAAATGGGTAAATATGAAAAAAAACACCTAGCTGGGACCGCTGAAGTTATGATTATAAAATTTAGCTAGTTGTTTTGTTTCATGATATACTTACGCCCCGAAAATGTATTTCCCAAAATTAAACCCTTAAAAAGGTTAAAAGGTGTTTAACATTAGAAATGTAATTTCTTGGCCATATTTTCAGAAAGAGGGTTATATAGGACCTAAATATTATATTTGATAGGATTTTTTTGAATCCGAGCTTTTTCCGCTGAAGATACATTGTTTATACGTTAAGTACGATATAATATGGAGTAAGTTATAATTTAATAGGCTACATTTTATTTTAAAATTTCTCCGATTAGAATTTAATTTTACAATTTGCATTCGAAATACTAAAATACGCTAATATTTTGCCAATTTTTGGTTGTTACAATACATGGACAACTCAGGCACAAAACTTCTAAAAATAAACTGTAATATAAAAACTGATAAACATAAAATATAATACGTAACACAAAAAACTGCACATGGGCGAAGCCAGGTTATTCAGCTAGTCTGGGACCCAACTCCGATACATCCATCAATTTATTACGCAACATTTACCGCACGTTAATTCATAATTGGGTGCGATTATAAAAACAATAACATACGAGTTCGGTCCGACTATAAAAATCATAATATATTAGTTTGATCCGACCACTATGGCAATAAAACCTGTAACTTAAGTATTGATACATTTGATAATATTAAAAAATTAATAGATTTGAGTTTGTAAAAGTTCTATCATTTACATTTTTACCCATTGTGTAAATTTTTAGTCATTTAATTTATTTATTTACCATATACCAATATTCTAATTTTCAATTAATAATTATATACAATATATTAGAAACTTAAAAAAAAACATAACTGTGTTCTAATTTATATGTTACCGATAGTCCTGAGTCTGTAAAAATGAGAAACGAATTTTTATTTTGTATTGACCCAACTAGAGTAGTTTTTATAAAATTATGGGACCCAACTAGTGTACTACCTGAAAAATACTGGGACGTAACTAGACTAAATAAGAGTCTTCGAAACCCAAATAATAAATACCGTATATCTGAAACAAATATGATTAATATATAATATTTATTAATCAGTAATCATTATATTATACTTGATTAAAGAAGAATTCAAATATTTACTGTATTATAGTTACTATATATCAGTTGACAGAATCCAATGGTTTGATTAATTATTATTTAAGTTTAAATTGATTTTTGTAGTTATTTTGTGTACGTATATAATATGTTGGCAGTTATTGTACATAAATAATTTTGTATTTAAGACTATTAATATTATTCCCAAATTACTACTGATTTACGCCTTAATAAACAATATTAAGATTAAGTTCTGATATCATTTTTATTTTGGACGTGTCGGAACAATTACTTAATTACTTGTATAATACAATATTATGCAGTAAATATTTCACAATTGAACAAGTTTTAGTTGTTTATTTTTAGTGAATATCATATGTGTATTTATTTACTTAAAAAATGATTTAAAATATAAATTTACAAGTACACGATTAACTAACTTATAATACCTATAGTTATTATTATGTAGTTATATTAATATAAGAATCTAAATAAAATAACAACAGATTTGAGCTTTGAGCTTCTTTAAAACCAAATTATTTCTTCTAATTTTCACAAGCGAAATAACTAACACCATAAGTAAAAATTCGAATTTTAATAAAATAATATTTAATTTATTTGTCTCTAATGTATTATTTTAAAAATAAAGAAATGATACCTCCTTAAAATGACTTAAAATTATGCGTATATTATTGTTAGGTAAAAGTTGAAGGCAATATTTTATACTTTGCATTGAAACAATAACAATTTCAGAAATGCAATCCTTTATTCTATTTTTAAACCAAATTCAGTTGTAATTGATTAAAATAATTATGAGTTGCTCTTCATTTAAAAAAAGTATTTTAGAAGTATTCGCTAAATGAGTGTCAAATAAATAAAACATATTTCCAAGAAATTGTATGCTCAGTCCTGAATCCAACAAAATTGTATAAATATTGCAAATCCAGGAATTACTTAATACAAAGGACAATAAAAGTTTAACGGTCGCGAGCTTTATTATTAAGTTTACTTGTCTGTGCTAGTGATTTGAAACACAAAAGGATCAATTTTGTTTGTTCGTTTTCCGATTTACTTTGTTGAAGAAAATACCCTTCCGGACCGATAAAGCATTGAACCATTTTTATGTTTAGATATTTGTTCTTGAATTCAATTTTGACTTTGACTTCGGTATTGTGCGCTATAAGTTTTATATTATATACTATTACATATATATATACATGCAACAATGTTATATAATATCATCTATTTCATTTTAGTTGTAACATTTTATTTCAAATAAAAGGCTATAAATTATTTTCCAGATTGTCTGCGCAGAATAACTATGACAAAGATCCATTTCAGTTAACATTTTTAACATAATATATATTTTTCATAATTGGGTTATTCTATTTACTTATTTTTAAATATATATCCTCTGATATAATGTCAAATACAGTCTGTGAAGTGGTTCCTTTGTGCAAGCGAGGACTCACCCCTGTTAAATTCTCCCTCGCCCTCGAGGCTCCCCATAGGGTTAATTAATACGTCTCTCATTCTATTGGTCGCCTAATAGTTGTTGGAGTGTAGCATGGTATATGTATAGTGTGTATTCATGGGCGCTCCCTTTCGTATTGTATTGAAAAAAAGCATCGTATATATATAAAAAAAAAAAAAACCACTTACAACTTGGATTGTCAATATGAAAAAATGTCCTAGTCTAGAATGGCGGTTTTAATTGGCTCTTATTGCGTATCCATCGTGTCCCTTTCTTGTGATTGAATACAAACCCCGAGGACAGATTTAAAACGTAATAAGCTAAAGCCTGCACGAGGAATTATATAAATAAATATATATATATATGTGTGTGTGTGTGTGTGTGTGTGTGTGTGTGTGTGTGTGTGTGTGT